CTGCTTTCCGGACGGAAGCTTCGCATGACAGTGATTTTTAACAGCTGATCGGCGGTTCTCTATGGGCAATCTTCATTGGACGATGAGGTATTTCCACCATTGGAACGCATTGACTGGTTTTCAATGCATTTCATTGGGGATTTTTTTTGTTTGACGACGATTTTGCTTAACAGCGATTTTGCTGGAACACATTATCATCGTCAAGCGGGGCACCACTGTATCTCCTAATATAAGTTTTCCTGGCATTTAAGATCTTTGGAGGAGGCTTTTTTCTTGGTCTTATTTCCATCACAGGTGTGTTTGATGGGGACATGAGAGAGGGTCTTCTCTGTGACTGTTCACAGATTGTGGATTGCAAAGCAACAGGATTTCAGCCAATGAATTACAGTGGTACCTCGCTAGATGATGACCTCGCTAGATGACAAATCCGCATAACGATGAGGTTTTGTGATCGCTATAGCGATTTGCAAAACAGTGATTCCAATGGGCGATTTTCGCTGGATGATGATTTGGTCCGTGCTTCACGGACCGTTTATTGGCAAGATGACGATTTTTACAGCTGATCGGCGGCTCTGCAAAATGGCTTCCCTATGGGCGATCTTCACAAAACAGGTGTTTTCCGGACAGAAGCTTCACAAGACAGCAATTTAAACAGCTCATCTGCGGTTCACAAAGCGGCTTTCCTATGGGGGATTTTCACTGGATGACAAGGTATTTTCCCCATTGGAATGCATTAAACGGGTTTCAATGCATTCCAATGGGGAAACGGTTTTCGCAAGACGATGATTTCGCTAAACAGCGATTTCAGTGGAACGGATTATCATTATCATGCGGGGCACCACTGTATATAAAATATAGCAACTACATCACATTTCAAAAGTAATGTTATGATTAAGGACCAATATTATAAAATCAATTAAAACACATTACTTTTCAAATATTTTAACAATAAATTATTTTAAAAAATAATTCTCCAGGCTCTGAATTACGTGTGTTTATGTTGTGCATCCCATTGTCTGTAATCAATACTTTCAGGAGTTTTCAGTCCCCATTTGCTAGATGGTGAACAGAGACCACAGAAGAGTCAACATGGATGGTGCTTTGCTTGGTAGGTAGACTTCCACTAAATATCAGATTTGCATCTTCAGTGGAAAGATGTCTGCCTTGGCTAGGGATGTTTCTTGTAGTGCAGGTTTGTTTGAGGTTTTAGAAAGCTTTGGTGTATCCTTACAATCTTTCCAAGTAAAAGACTTGCTACATAAGACTTTTAAGATGTAAGTAAAATTTACTACAGTCAGAGACCAGCACAGATATAGGCAAGACCTAATATATGATGCAAGTTTACTGTGGGCACAAGGAACTTGAGGCTTGAGGGGAGACGTGCAGTCCTTCACCTCCAGAACATGGTATGTTCCAGCTAAGCGCTGTGCAGGGAACTTTAAATATTTTGATCCTTTGAAACAGTGGCCTGAGTCATGGGGCATGTGCTTGGTTCCTGGCTAGCTGCCAGTTCCTTCCCACTCCAAATGATCTGAATGCCAATTACATGCAGACAATGATGTAAGCAGTGCCCAGATTCTGTCCACAAGGATGAAGATAGCAGTTTGATGATTCTTATTGTCTCTGTGAGCCAGTTGCAGAATTGACATATCTGTCCAGTGTGTTGGTGGCACAATGGTCTTTTCCTAACCATTATAATAGTTTTTGTTGCTTCCTGTTTCATAATAAAATCATGAAATGGTATGTAGATAACAGCTGCTACAACAGGAAGACCTAAGAATGAAAAAACCAACCAAACCTGCCCCTGTTTAAAGATCCAGAAGACTATTTGGTTCCATTTTCCTAGCTGCAAAGTACGGTACTTTTCCAGTTTTGTTGCTATTGCACTTGGGGAACAAACAAGCTGCTGCAGCATAACTGCTATCTCAGACATTCATTCAAATCTCACTTCAACGATATTTTCGGTCAATGGAGTTAGGCAAACTGCCTGTTCTCAGCTTTTGTTACTGCCATGTGCAGTCAAGTTGTTTCTGAGTTATGTTAACCAAAGTAAGTTTTTTAAGGTATGTGGGGTGTTTGAGTGCTTTCTCATAGCCTCTTCCCCTATGTTTCCATGGCTAAATGGGATTTGAACCAGGGCTCCTGGGTCCTAGTTTGACAATCTGTTAACTACACCACACTGCTGCAGCTTTGTTCTTGTTATATGCGGTCAAGACGCCTGTAATTTATGACAACCCTCCAAAATGTCTAGCTTACATCTTACAGACTCAACCCTGTTCCTTTCTTCATGGAATCAATCTATCTCGTATTTGGTCCTCTTTTTTTATTATTAGGTATTATTAAGCATGTTATCCTATTGTATTTTATCATTTATGTAAGCCACCCTGAGTAGACTTTGTCTAGAGGGGCGGGGTATAAGTCTAAATAAAGTAAAGTAAATGCTGCCTTCAACTTTTCCCAGCATTATTGTCTTTTACAGCAAGTCTTGTCTTCTCATGATGGGTCTGTGATTTCTCTCTATTCCAGCATGATAACCATGGTAGCCCTTCTTACTTCCTGGATTCACACAAGGAAATGAGGGACTGGTCAAAACCAACAACATTTATTAATTGGGATGGCAACTTCTCAACAACAGTTCACAATCAACACTTTGTTCCTTTGAGTTAACAGTTTCCTCTCCTTTTACAGTCCATTGTTCAGTCTCTATCTTTTGAGTGACCCTCCAAGTCTTGTATTCCTGGTCTTAGAGGGGTGATTGACAGCTTCCTGCCTGACATGAGGAACAGCAACAGGGATGGAGAGTAAATTCCCCACCCAAATCAGTCTGGTGCTTTCCTCCATTTCCTCCTGACATCCTCGGAAGAAGGAGTCAGGGTACCCCTCTCCCAGATACAGTGCCAGGCCCTTCCATTGAAGTAGAATAACCCCCAGCACTTTGTTCCTGAGCTTCCCAATGTAATTCCCATTTCTCCATTTCCCCTCAATACAAGGGTTTGGGGGGGGGCAGTTGTAACTTTTCTGTTTCTCTGCTTCTTCCTTAGGAACTCTAAACTGAACTGGCTCCTAGTCCATGGATCCTCTTAGGTCACCAACTCCCATTCCTCATTTGAGAAGGGTTCCTCTACCTTTTCCACCTCTGGACAGGACTCTTCTCCCTGATATTTCACTGCATCCCACCAAACCTCCTCCTCTCCTGCCTTTCCCTTTTCTTTTGTATCTTTCTTCTCCCTTGACTCCTCCTCCTGTTATGTTTTCCTAGGTTTTCTGTCATCCCCAGGATTTCTGGTCTCACTGTGGAGCCATATTACACCAGCCTGTATCTACTGGGAAAAGGGAGATTTGAACTCCACCTGGTTCTGAAGGAAGGGGAGACAGCATGCCAAGGGCATCAGCCTTCCTGTCTCCCTCTTTACAGGGCCCAAAATACAACAGCCTCAATGTAATCATTTTTGCCTCTGGTCTTCTTAATGTTCAGCTGCAGTTCTGCTTTTTCACTTTCACCAAAGAGTAATTCCATCTCGTTTTCTGCCTATAATATGATATCAGGTGCATATCATAAATTTGTGATGTTTCTCCTACCAATTTTCACTCCTCTTTCACCTGCATCAAAACCAGGTTTCTGCATGATATATTTTGTTTACAGACTGAACTGATAGGGAGATAAAATGTACCCTTCCACCCTTCTCTCACATCTTTTCCTCTTTTCTCTCATATTCTGTTCTAGCAGTAACTTTGTGTCCAGAGTATAGGCTTTGCATCCGGATAATCAAATGTTGAGGCATATCCATTTTTAAATAACAGTCTGTAGCTTTTTCATAATGCATACGGTCAAAGGCTTTGCTTTAGTTTATAAAGCATACATTGACCTTCTTATGACATTCTTTCATATGCACCAACATATAGTTACAATATGCTCTCTAGTGCCTTTTCATTTTTTGAATCAAGGCTGAACATCACACATTTCTCACTCCATATAGGATAACATTCTTTGTTGCAACACATTGGAATTTAATGCAATGGTTTTAAAGTTACAGCAATCCATGGTGTCATCTTTATTAGAAACTGGAATGCATATTCAACTTTTTCCAGTCTGTGAGCCATTGTTTTCCATATTTGTTGGCATATTCTTGTTACTGTATAATTTTGACAGATTCAGTCTCTATCATGTGAAACACTTCTGTCAATACTGCATGTATTCCTGGTCCAAGCACTTCAGGACCAGTCTGACTTCACTTTCTCAAATTCCACTGGGGTAAAAAACCAGAAAAATCTCCAAATCATTATGGTCAGAGGTTGAGGCCAGGTTCTTTTGCTTAAAGTAGGTTGACGGGATTCCTCTTCATTCTCGCAGCCCTTCTGTAAAGTTCTTTAGTATACTGTCTCAGTGTTACTCCCCCCAAAATATGGGAGAAGTCCATAATACAGATTTTACTTACAAAGATGGATTGCTATTAAATAACATATTTGAGGTGCTTTGAAACATGGAAATCACAAACCATCGTCACTTTTTATCTCTATCCTTACCTGGACATAAATCTCACTACCATGAAATAAATACAGGAGACATGTATTTTCTTTTCTACTTCTGAACAAGTGAATTTTGATGCACAAAAACTTCATCTGAAATATAACTGATACAGTATTTTCCTTTTCTGATAGTTTTTCTGGTAAATTCTTTTGTGGCTCAGAATGATGAAGCAAGATTCTGCACTTCAACAATCTGTTTACAAGCTGACTGAGGTATTTCATAGGCAGATGTTCTGAAGTATATTCATATTAGCCCCACCCTCTTGATAAAACTCTCGTTGTTTGCTCTGAAATGCATGGCTGCACCACCTAACATGAACAATACTTCAAGCAGCTCTGTTAATGATGGAACTTTTTGCAACCAATGTCTGTGCCTGGTTATTTATACAGCATTGTCTATGTAACAATCCCAGTGTTGCAGCAGCAGGGAGGAAACAGGGTAATGAGAATAATCGACGCTGCTTTGTTTGCAGGTAGAAGAAGGTGCTTTTGTGAAAGAGAGTTTTGATGAGCTTTGCTGGACGCTGACTGCAAAGAAGAATTACAAGCCAGACCGGAATGGGAACAGTGTTATATCCCATGATGATGCCTTCAAGCTTTGGTGTCTCTTTAATTTCTTATCTGAAGACAAGTACCCTCTTGTTATGGTGCCAGATGAGGTATGATTGCTTTTAAATCATTTTAATTCCTGTTGTAATGCATTTTTCAATAAGGGATGAGTCATATCTGGCATGTTTTATATAGTTATTGGCTTAAATATGTGACTGTAATAACTGTGTGAAGCCTAATTATATGAGCATGATAAGCATCTGTGGCTGGCAGTCCCAGCTTTCTGTACACAGACTGGCAGATCCATACGATACAGCCTTTCACATAATCTGGTTCCACTGCTGAAAACTGCACCCTGTATTCCAATATCCAAGTATTCAAGTGCTGAATGACTACAGCTAGAAAACCCTTTCCTATATTTCAACACAGCTTGCCACTATTCACCACTTGTAGTAACTACAGTTCAAATTTTTTCCTGAAGCCTACAGATACGTATTGTGTAGTTTCAGAGCTGTTCTTGCCATCATATGTTGAAGCCCTGATAGATGTTAGGGCTCGATCACACCTGGCAAAAGAACCCAAGTTATACTGATTTGGCCGTTTTTTTAGATCGTTTCATGAATTTCTTAGTGCACAGCTAAGATTGACTCATTTTCCTGGCCAGCGGTTTATTCCCTGGTTATTTTCTCCTCACTGAGGGGGTTGTTTTAAATTGTACCAATGATGTATCAATTCATTCCTTGCCAGTATAGCATATAAAGACATTCCTATTGATTCTTTTCCCTTCCTCGGTCCCCAGGGAAGGCAGCCACCATGACTGCTGTGCTGCTGCCCTGTGATTTTAATTTTTTTATATCATGGCCAGTATATCAGTAGCTGGATCTTGGAATTACAGTGTATTCATGTTTAAGTTTTTCTGAAACAGGTTAGCAGACAAATGCACAACATGCTTACATGAATTGAGTTACATGGAGTGCAGTACAGATTCACCATCAATAAAGCAAACAAACAGGCCAGCTTGAAGGGAGAGGATACGGGAAGGAAGAGACGTCCATCTAGCCAAAGGTTCCAAACCTTGGGCCCCCAGATGTTCTTAAAATTTAAATTCCCAGATGCCTTCACCACTAGCTGGGCTGTCCAGGATTTCTGAGAATTGTAATCCAAGAACATATGGGGATGCAAGGTTGAGAACCACTGATCTAAGCTAATCATAAGCACATGCTTCTGTTAAACACAGTGCATACTTTAGTACAAGGTTAGGACAACCTGCAACTCCAGACCCATTTCAAAAGCCCTCTGCAGATATCTGCAGGAGTTTCTCCAGCAGTGCAGTAGGTGCTGGTGGGAGAGAAGGCATTATCAGAGAGAAAGAGGAGGAGAAATTTGCCCTGCCACCACCAGCATGCATCCCCCACAAACTTGTCCCAGGGAGTGTGACCCTTTGCAGAAAGAAGGGGTTTCCTGCCTTGATTTTAATGCATGTGAGTGGAGGAACCCAGTTGATGAGGACAGTGAGGAGGCAAGGGAATTTTTTTTTTTTTTGCCTAGTATTCTGCTATGCAGTAAAAAAAAAAATGGCCTAGCCTGGAACACGTTGACATACAAATTTGAAACATGGCAACTCCACCCAAAACGTTAATCACAATAAATGGAATGCTATTTAGTCGAGCAAAGCTGCTAGTTACAGTAATACTCTCGTAATTCCACAAGGTATTTTGGAAGGAGAGAGATTTTTGTTTCTTAGCATAGAGGCAAAATCTTAATCAGGTGGACTGTAAATCTTGAGAGTGGGTACTGAACCCCATTCAAATTGGCCCAAAAGCCATTAGAGGCCTAGGTTGCAATAAGCGCATCTTGTAAATTCTGTTGCACACATCCCAACACCCATAATGTATCAGATGACTTTAGGATGCATGAAGATACTTCTGTTCTTCCTAAGCTGCAGTGTGCTGGCTTGGTCTATTTCCACCCATCTTCTGGTCCAAAGTGCAATTGAAAAAGGCACATATAATCAAATAGTAACTGCATTTCCTGTTTCCCACTAATATGTTTCTGGCTCTTCAGGTATTGAAAACACAGAGCAGTCTTTCTGATGAAGCCCCTAATATTTGGAATTCAATATAAAATAGCATTTTGTTTGGCAAAATTAAAGGGGAAAAGTAAAAGTAAAAAAGATGGAAGAAAAAACAAAGTATTGTGACACTTTAAAGACTATACAGATTTATTACAGTATGAGCTTTTCATGGATTAAAATCCACTTGTTCAGACACAAGAAGTACAAATATGTGTCCTCTGTATTAATACGTATCTCCATGGCAGTGAGGTAAAAATGCAGGCAATAAAGTGACAGTGCTCTTAACATAGGAATGGGACTACAAAGCTTTTAATAACTTGAGACTGCAGGCCCTAGTCAGAGTGATGAATTGTATGCCATTTTGTATTTGGCCACAGGAGGAGCTCCAGATTGAAACAGACCCCAGGCAACCTCTTCTTCTATCATCTTCCCTTCCTTTTACAGCTACCTACCTGACACCAGGTCCAATTTCTCTTCGGTTCCCACTCCTGTTCCTGGTTCTCTCAGTCCCTCCCTCACTCTCTCCATTTTGTTTGGCATGCTCGTTTTCTCTCTGTACTCAACTGCTGGTGGTTATGCAGTTGCTATCATCCCAGTGTTAAATAATTCAGGGTTCTGACATTTGCTTGACCATCCCATGTATGTTTAGCAGTTTGGAAAGTAATATTCCACAATGAAAGATTACAAAGTTACACTTTTTTTGAACTGTTGTTGGCAGCTGCCTAACAAGTCCATAGCACCAAGTCCATAGCACCAAGCACCATTTTAAACATTTAAAATGAATAACTAATACATTCTAGGAGATCAACAGTACAGCTGTGTAACATATCTACTTATATATTTTAAGGGGGAATTTGCAGCAAAATTAGCAAAAGTGTCTTGTGACACCTTACAAACTAGCAAATTTTATTTAACCATGATGGCATGCAGCCTTTAGTGAAAGAAAAAGAACAAGAGAATGATATTATCAGATGCCATTATTTTATGCGTCCAAACTATGCCCCAGAACAATGGCATCTGGATTCAATCCTGACTCAGGTTTTTGAGGGTCCTTGAACATGATAGCTCTCTGTGGGCATCTTCCAATGGCAAGTCAATCTTCTCATACCACCCACTTGTTTGCCAGGCACAGAGCCACACAGCCAAAAGACAATGGCATTTATTGATCTTCTTTCTCACCTCTGTCATTATTTGGACAAGAACAAGAGGATTTGGGTATTGGAAGGCTATAACTGTATGGGCTAGACAGAGTAAGAACAAGCAGGTTGCTGTGACAAAAAAAAAGAGCAGGCCCAAGGCCTGTTTGCTACAATATATCTGTTTCCATAGGTGGCATACCCAACAAATCTGAAAAATAATTGGTGTTTAGCTTTTTTTAAAAAGGGGGGGCACATTTTCTCCTGTAAATCACACCCAGCACTTTTGTCCCTTTCCCCTTCAGATGCTGGACCAGCTTGATTGTATTCATATAGCACACTGTGGAATCACACCTGAGGCCACATTGCTTGTGTATCCTAAAATTGTCAGGAGTTCTTGAGCAGATAAATACCGGTGGGGGGGGGAGGAATTTGAAATGGAAGTAAGAACAAGCCCAAAAGAAAGTTTTGTGTGTGGTGGAATAGTGTGTTTTCCAGAAACAATGTTTGGCACTAGGCATTAGAATAACTCAGAGCTCAGAAAAGTTATCTCTTTGAGTCACAAACCCTAGAATCCCCCAGACAGTGTGGCCAGTAGCTGTTTTGGCTCTGAATTATGGGAGCTATAGCTCATAAAGCTCGTAACTTTTCCAAGTGGCAGGATAACTTGAATTAGAAGGCTCTTGGCAGTGAAATGGATGATGCTCATGAGAAAAAAAAGAAATATGTGTTGTTCAAAAGATTCCTAGATTTGAGAAGTATTATCTGTTCCTTCTTAGCTGACTTGCTCTGCTTATTTCAGGTGGAGTATCTCCTAAAGAAGATCTGCACATCCATGAGTATTGAGCTCAGCAGTGGAGAACTAGATGATTATCTTTCCCAAGAGACCCAGCAGCAGAATGGCTTGACTGTGTGGCAGTTTCTTGACTTAGTAAATTCAGGCCGGTTCCTGCGGGGAATAGAGCATGAGGCCATCAGCATGGCCATTGAAGAAGTCTATCAGGAAATTATTGGGGATGTGCTGAAACAGGTAAAGAGCCTTCCCTTGTTTAGTAATGGGAACAATGCTTTGATAGGCCTTGTGAACTTTTGTGAACAGTGTTTGTTAAACAGTGGGTCAGGAATGTGCAACTTACTTTCCAGAAGTGTTCAGTGCTGTAGCCTACCTGGTATTTTAGCAGAAGGAACAAAGGAAATTGCCAATGTGAGGGGTATGTTGTGTGTACAAGAGGAAAGGGATAAAATATGGTTGGAGATTTTAAAAAAAGAATATTTTGAGAGGTACGTTGGGGGAGGAGGTGAAGAACAACAGAGCATTAAAATATTCTGTTTAAAGCCTCTGAATTGGTAAATTCTGTTTGACATGGGGGGGGGCTGAATGAAGATACTTCTAATTACTTGTATTTAATTTGAGGAAGGCTGCTCACTCCCTGCAACAATTACCACTGTGTTATTAGTGGTTGCATTGTTGCGTTGTGATTTCTGAGATCTATGCTCTAGTCTCTGCTGAGCCATGAAACTCATTTGAGGACCTTGGGACATTCACTTTAAGTCTGACCCTAGCTCACCGTTCAAGGCTCAGGGGCAACAGAAGTATATATATCTGTTGAACCCATTTGAGAGAAGATAGAAATCAGTCAAACAAACAAATAAAATAATGACAAGGAAATCATTATGGTAAAGCATTGATGATGATGATTCAGCAGTTTCCAAAGAGGGATTACATATCAGCTTAAATTATTATTAGTAATTGCTAGCTAATGATGATAATTTCTCTTCAGTCTACCACTGAACTAACAGAAATTACTATAGCCTTGTGGCTTGCAAATATTCTGAATTGGCATGATCAAGAACCTGAAATGTGTGCTTTCTGGAAGCACTCAGAACTTCACAGCAGTAATGTGGAGGAAATGTCAATGAGGAAATAGCAGAACAGCCTAAGTCCACTGCACAAAGAGGAAGGAAAATATGTCAGCATCTCTGATACCCACAAGTCACATGAGTATGTGGTGACTGATACATTCTAGTCCACAAGGTGAAGAATCCTTGCCTCTCCAGATATTTTGGGCCAACAACTCTCATCACTCTCAGTACTGTGGCCTCTAGAAGGGGTTGTAGGGGTAGTAGTGCAAAATATCAGATGGAGCAAAGGTTCTCCACACCTGGAGTACCAGTATCACTATGTGGAACATTCAGAAGGGAAGACAGGAGCAAAAACTCTATCCTAGTTGGTCATACTTTCCCGGCCCCACAACACCGCCCATCCTTTAGCACTTCTGAACTAAATTGGCCATGAGGGAAATTCCCACTCTGGGTGCTTGCTGTCTAAACTGTCGGTGTCACTGAAATATACAGAATGTGCACATAGCAATTTATGTGAAATGAAATAGTTATGCAACTGTATATTTCCTAACTGTATAACCACCTATTGAGAATGGTGGTTGAGGAGATTCATGCTGATTTAAGCTTATGGCAAAGTGATTCTCCGTGCACTGTGTTAACTCCACTTAATGCACTGTGGCAAAGCTTCCAGAAGTGTGTCAAATGGTGACAATGCGGTTTTAAGTTTATAGCAGACTGAGATCTTAGAATTGACTTTCAATTGCAAGTGAGAGATATTCCACCTAAATGATATTATGTCGTTTTGTTTGTTTATTTATTTAAACCCCTACTAGCAAACCGAAAAGCAGTATGGTTTAGGATGGTGGTTATGGGCTAGGCTCATTGCCAGCTGTATTGATTTTCCATTATGTAGAGGTTTTTGGATAGGGAAATGTTCTGAAATGGAATTGTTCACCTGCAGTTCAGCACAATGCAGCCTACAGCCTCAAGACTGCATGATCCTGATCCTAATGTGTGGGCAAAACAAGCACTAGGAAATGTGGGTTGCACTGCCACTTGGTCCATGATGTCAGCACTAGGTCCAGTCAAAGCACAGCTTGAATTTGCCAACTCAGAAATGAAATTTGGCTCCCTGTGACATACCGTATTTTTCACACCATAAGACACACTTTTCCCCCACAAAACAGGGGGGTGGAAAGTCTGTGCGTCTTATGGAGCGAAGAAAACAGATTATATTTTCCTGTTTTCTTCTCCTAAAAAATTGGTGCGTCTTATGGAAAGGTGCGTCTTATGGAGCGAAAAATACGGTAAATCTTTGTCCAGTTTGAGGATCTTTTGTATAGTTTGTCCTTTACAATGTGTCTGCTTCTCTCCCCCATCCCCATACTTTTTGAGAATAGGGCTACCTGTGGAAGAAAGGTAATCTGAGGAGGAACTGGTCAGAGCGATGGTTCACCCTAAAGCCCAGTGATCTCTCTTACTATATGAGTGAAGAACGAAAGGAGAAAAAGGGGAGCATATCTTTGGACAGAAATTCATGTGTGGAGGTAATTGGGCTTATTGTGGTACAAGGGAACAAGAAAAACTTGGTTTACCCACAATATATCGTAAAAGATATAAAAATAGTTAACCATATTGTGAAGAGGACATTGTGCAAGCAAGTTATATGCTCCTAATGTATGCATTCCCTGAGCAGAAACATTCTTTTCTTTACCTCTGAGGCAAGGTGAGGAATGAAGAATTCTTTAGAAATTCTCAGCCCAGTGGGTGCCATATGTTAGAACCAGGATATAGCCCAGATGTACCCTGTTTCCCTGAAAATAAGACCTAACTTGAAAATAAGCCCTAGTATGATTTTTCAGGATGCTCATAATATAAGCCCTACCCCAAAAATAAGCCCTAGTTAAGCGAAAGCCCGCCCTTCACCATTGTACAGAAACCAGAAGATGACATGACTGTATAAACCAGCCCCTGAAAATAAGCCCTACTGCTTTTTTTGGAGCAAAAATTAATATAAGACCCTGTCTTATTTTTGGGAAAAGATGGTAGATTTTCACTGGTTTGGTTGCTGTCAATGTACCAGTTCACTTCCCTGTCAGTGCAATGACTTTCTTTAATCATGAAGTGTAAAATCCATGGGGGTTACATGTAAGCTCTACAGGAGGTGCTTTTTAAACAAAAATAATCAGATCATTTAATGGATTATAGACATGAACTAATTTGCACTACTGGAAGTGAAAGGAGAGGAGTGCAAAAGTAAAAGCAGCAGGCAGTTGAAGAGAGTCTAGAAAGCACTTACTGGTCCCTGTCTTTAACTCTGGAGTGGTAGTTCCACATGTAAAGGAGGCCATGAAGCCTACCTGCATGTTGCATTTTCCTCCTGATATTTGCATACTAAGAGGAAGTTGCTGTATATACCAATTGCTGCCTCTGGGCCCCATGTAGTAAAGGTGAATGATTGTTGGGTGCATTGTGTATGGAAGAGAAGGGAGGAGGAAAGTTCATTGAGATATTTGGAGTCTGTGAATCAATCATGCTGTAGCTATTATAAGACATTGGTTCTATTAGGTTCTTTTACATATTGTATTAATATTTTAAGAAAGCTGCATTTGCGAGAGCCCTTCCTCATGCCCATGTCACCGTATAATCATTTCAGTTATCAGGTGATAAATGTGATCCTTTGTCATGTGCAAGTTCCTAATTGGCAGGCTAAGGGAGTGCCATGGAAAAGAGGTTCATTGTAATCTTAGGCTATGAGTGGTGCATCTTGTGTCTTGTACTGTTCAAAGTTAGGTTATAAATGTGGGGCAAACTATAACTTTTTTACTTTCCAAATTGAAAGATCTTGCCTGACAGAGATGGAAAACGGTGTATGTTCTGTGTAAAAACGGCATCAAGAACCTATGAAATGAGTGCCTCAGATACCAAACAAAGGCAAGAGTGGACACTTGGTGAGTATTATGGTACACAATGTCATTGGCTATTGTTTCTGAGCTGTTCTGAAAACAGAACTGTTTTTTCTTGCTTTGGAAAGCTCCTGAAATGAAGAGATTAAATTACAAGTAGCAAATGCACCAGAAGGTGTCTCTTCCCTTTCATTTGTCTTCATTAACGCATTGGCCATCTCGCAACAATACTGGAATAGTCTAGCTAAAGCAACTAAAACTACCAACATTATTTTAAAAAGAGAAAAAACACTTGATGTAATGTCAGTTGTGCAACTATCTGGGTGAGATTATTTTAACATTGTCTCATAGAACAATCAGGGATCTTTTATCAGAAGCTAAATGTTAGTGATTACGACAGACAGGATAGGTGATCAGGTGGCATTGCTGTTCTCCATTTGTACACCACAAAAACTCATGATCTTTGCAGTCTATCTAGGATGCCTGGCTGTTACCTCAGGAAAGTTTTGATATTGCAATAGCCATAGTCATAAGAATCAAACATTTTGGCAAAATGCATGTTGAAATACTTAATTACTTTTAATATGTTTAAAACATTTTATATGTCATCAGAACTTTAAAAATGCAGTATGTGTGAACAATAAAAATAATTATTTTTTCCAGCAGCTAAAAACAATCATTTAGCAATTTAAAAAGCTAGGGCAAATAATACTTTTTGCCTGTCCTCTGAAAGAAAGCTGAAGGTTTCTTGGAGAGACTGCTGCACAGCAGTGGGGACCACAGTTGAAAATGCCTTCCTCCTTGTTGCCACCCCCTCACTCCTGAAAAAGGGGTGCAATTGGGCTTTGGCAGGTGACCTAAAGAGATGAGCACATCTTAAGGTCTCTGACCCTGACAGAAGAAATGATGCTCCTTGCTGACATCTCTGCCCCCTCCTCCCTTGGCAGCCATCCAAATGGCAATCCGCCTCCAGGCTGAGGGCAAGAAGTCACTGCACAAGGATTTAAAGCAGAAGAGGCGGGAACAACGAGAGCAGCGAGAGCAAAAGAAGGCAGCCAAGGAAGAAGAGATGCAGCGCTTGAAGCAGCTCCAGGAAGAAAAGGAGCGCAAATTACAGGAACTGGAGCTGCTGAAGGAGGCTCAGCGGCAAGCTGAGCTTCTGCTCCACGAAGAAGAGCAGCAGCGCAAGCAACAGCATGAGGAAATGCAGAGGACACTAGAGATACAACTCCGAGAAGCAGAACAGGTATGTGCAGGCAAGGCAAAGGCTGAGAGAATGTCCAGAACCTTAACTAGGCACATACCATATCAATCCTTGGAACAAATAGCATTGGAATGTCATGGGGTTGGTGGGCGAAGGTTCCGTCCTCTGGCCTGCACTTTTCCAGTGCAAGAAATCTGAGAGATGTCAGACTAGATATACTTGGTGAGCTAGAAGAATTCTTTCTGAAACATAAAAACTTTTGTGGGTGACACATTTGTTTTGGGGACCACACTGTCCTTGCTGCTATGGCCATCATATGGCCATAGCTACCAGAATTGTGTCAGCTTTCTTTTTATTCTTTCTTTCCTTTCTCTTCAGGAACAGAAATGATTTTTCTATCCTGCAGTCTATACAGCAGGGCTGTACAGTCCAGGAGGATACACCCTCCTGTACTGTAGGGAGATCCTGCTGCAAGTACTGCCAAATTCCCAGTTATTATTCTCCTTAATAGTGTAGCAACGTGAAGACAAAGAACATACTTTCAATAATAAGCTTGATGCAAACAGGAACCTGTCATAGTTTGATTATTCCTTATTATCTGTGGCCTGAATGACATACGTAATGCAAACAAGCTGAAAAAAGGAATGAATTAACATGAAATACTGTTCTGTCTCTCTGCAACAAAAGAAATAAAAAAATATTTGTAGTGTTTCAAATAGAATCCTGGGCAATCTTCACTCAGTTCCAGAACAACATCCATATTCCAAGGGCACACACCATCCAATTCAGAATGACAGCATGTTTTACCCACCAAGAAAACACAGAACTCTTACAGCTGTAGACTGGAGGCCCTAAGCCTATACAATTCCTTTGTTTTTTCACACAAGGAATTCTAGGTCTGGGAACTAGACAATGTACATCTTCGTTTGCAAACATAGTGATCAACTGGTTTATATAGAAGATGTCAATACATTTATTAACAGCCAAGGCAAAACTCACGACAGTCTGTACCAGCTGCTGGGGTATGAGCTGTAATTTAAGGTGGTTGATGCTGCCGCCTGCAGTTTATTGCTGTGTACTCCACATGCTAACTGCATTTTCTTTACATGACTGTAGGCTCGTGCTTCCATGCAAGCTGAGATGGTTCTGAAAGAGGCAGAGGCAGAACGGCAACGCAAGCGCATCACAGAGTTGGAGGAGATGCAGCAGCGACTCCAAGATGCGTTACAGCAGGAGATTAAAGCTCGTCGGGATGAAGAGGCTGTTAGATACGCACAGGCCAGGTACAGCTTGTGAATGCCCAGCTTTCTTCTGATCTGGAAATAATGTTTTACAGCACCCTCGGCACTTGAAAAGAAGTTAGACTGAGATAATAGTCATTTCCTTCATAGATACGGCTTCCCGGCATCTGTGTTACTGGAAATGCTATGATCAATCCATATCCAAGGCTCCTTGAAACACTTCTGTCTCAATTAACTAAATAACTCTGATTCTCCATGGCAGTAATTTATTTTATTTATTTATTTATTTATTTTATTTATAACCTGCCTATCTGGTTGGTTAAGACCACTCTAGGCGGCTAACAGCATAATAAATACATGGGACAGAATTCTCTTGGCCCATTCCATATGCACCTTGCTCCCCTGTGCATGTGAGGGGAATTTTTCCAGAGCCTGTCTGGTACCTTGCTGTACAAGCATAAACCCAGTTGAAATCAATGGGGACAGTAGCAAAGTCAGAGGTCACACCTCTGTCTTTTGCTGAATTCACAGTAAACAAAATGCTGGGCATACAATTATTTCTGTGTGATATTTGTCCAGGTACAGCTGAGCCTTCTTTGTACCTTATGTACCACCTTTTTTTTTGGGGGGGGGGGAGAACTGAAACAATTTATTTTTGCCAGATCCAACATAAATATCCACCTTCTACTTGTAGCTGTCGTCTCTAGTTTGTCTCATTTTCTTTACCATTGTGCACTTGAGATGGTTTAGGAGAACAGGTTATTAATCATAGGATCATAGAATAATTGAGTTGTAAGGGACCTATAATGCCATTGAGTCCAACCCCTGCTCGGTGCAGGATTCCAATCAAAGGAGATCTGACAGATGATTGTCCCACTTTCTCTTTAGTACCTCCACTGTTGGAACACTCAATACCTCCCAAAGTAAATTGGTTCCATTGCCGTACTGCTCTAACAATTAAGCAAGTTTTCCTGATACTTAGCCAAAATCTGGCTGTAACTGGATCCCATTATTATGTGTCCTGCACTCTGGGATTATTGAGAACAGGCCCTGTCCCTCCTCTGGATGACAATCTTTCAAATATTTGAAAAGTACTGTCATATTTTCCCATCAGTCTTCCCAGTCTTCAACCACAGAACCCGCAATCTAAATTCAGACATTGGGGGGAGGCAACAGAAGACAGGAAAAAAATGAAGGTAGGGACTGACTGCAAGAGAATATGAGTATTTATTTTGGTTACACATTATAGTGCGAAAAGATTATGTAAGGACTATCTCATAGATTCAAAGATTTCATAAGTTTAGAGGGTTTGAAGGAGGTAAGGGAGGTGGAATCACACAGGACTTCTGAAAGGCTATTGAAAGGATGAAGACTGGCAAGAAAGAAAGGCCTGAGCCATTTGAAGAAGACCTTTGGACAAGTGATGCTGGATATTAAAAGGTCATGTAGATATCAGGAGAGAAGTAAGGTGGAAAATATTGAAAGATCTTCCATGTTGAATCTGGAGCAAACAGGAGGACACTGTATGGATTTAAAGGCATCATATGGTTTAGAGTGGCAAGAGAGTAAATGGTTTTGACAACACATTTCTAGAGAGAGATGAAGGTAGTCAAAATAAGAAAAATTGAAAACCAAAGAAGAGGTTATTATAGTTGTCAAGGTAAAAGATGAATGGAGCATAATGTACAATAGATGAAGAAGAGCCATATTTTGCAGTGTCATACAGGGAAAGGTTAGCAAGACTTGGCCATACAGTGGTACCTCGACTTATGAACGTCGCCACTTGCGAACGTTTCGAGTTATGAATGAAAAAAAAATTTTCCTGCCCTTTTTTTGACCTAAGTTTATCTTAGGTCAAAAGAAGAAAAAATATTTTACAAATCTCCTCCTAATGGTAGAATACAGATTAACTGGCTTTACATTAGTTCCTATGGGAACTAATGCCTCTACTTGTGAACAGCACCTCGACATAAGAACGAAAAATAGCCAGAACGGATTAAATGGTTTTCAATGCATTCCTATGGGAAATTTTGCCTCGACTTATGAAATTTTTGATGTATGAACGCTATTCCAATACGGATTAAGTTCGTAAATCGAGGTACCACTGTACACTCAATATTGGGAGCAAAAGAGAATGAGAGGGCAAAATAAAACGTTTTGCAGAGATTAAAGCCAGGACAAAGTATTTTCCAACAATTATCTCCCTTGCCGCCATCCCATTCTATAAGTAAGGATTCCAAAAGTTGAGGCAGTAGAGTAGAGCATGTTATTCCCCTTCAGAGTGACAAGGTCCTTGCTGTGAGTCCTGGAGTGTACTGAAGACTTAAACAATAGACTGTCTCAGGGCAAAGTGATAATGACTCCTATGCTATTGTTAGGCTGCTGTCTGAGGAGGAGGAAAAACTAAAGCAGCTGATGAAGCTAAAGGAAGAGCAAGAGGACTATATCATCAAGGCCCAGCATGAGAAGTTGGCCCTCAAGCAAGAGATGGAAAACAAGAGCAAATTTTTGGAGGAAGCCCAGCAGCAGCTGGAAGAAGTGAGGTTTAACAGGGAGAGGATGGACCAGGATGTTATGGTGAGTAAAAGAGTGTCTGTGCTTCAATTTGTCTCTTCGAGAAATTTACTCACAATAAGGACCATTGTCACCACAGAAACATGCAATTATTCTGTATATCCACTTTCTATCCCACTATCCCATATGCTGCTCAAGATTATTTAACAGCATGCTTTAGACAGTAATATGGTTATAACATTTGCATGATGAAAAACTGAAAAATGGAACTACACAATGCAACTGACCATACCTATGAAATGCTTCCAGCAATCTTTCCCTACCTTGTGTTTGTCCAGTGGCATTTCTGGCCCACAAACTTTGGGGGTTGTAGTTCAGTACACCTAGGGAAGAGTTACACAGTTTTAATTTTGTCACTGAGTTTAGTTTTGAGAACACCTCAGATTACTATGAGGTCTTGCAGATAGAAAACACATTGCTTGTTTCATGAATGCCAGACTATGAAAGGAAAAAATGAGGTAAGCAGGAACTCCATAAGATATAATGGAAAAGCCTTGAATCACACCTCACAGAGTTTTGAGATGGAGAATTAGTTAGTTAGGAAGTTGAAGAGATTGAGAGAGTTTTGGAGTTTGGCCGGGAAAGTGGTGGTTGAGAGTGGATAAAGAAGAATGTTTAAGAGTTAACAACATTGCTTGTTCTGTCAACACCTGTATCAACAAACAATTTCTATTTGGTTTTTTTAAAATGGCATATAGCCTGGTCCTCGATTATTAATAATCGGTATTGTTGATGAAATCAACTGGTGGCAACTGAGGGGCACGTAGCATGAGCCCTTTGTTTGGCGAAACGATCAGGGGCCACGTGGAATCCTGACAAATATAAACCAATCCAACTGTAAAAAAACCCATTAAAGTTAAATAAACAGTTTGAAGGCCATTAAACTCAACAAAAGATTAAAACAACACAAAAGGGCAGGCTAGATATCATACACTGGTCTAAAAATATGTGCTTCTACTCTCTTCTGAAAATCAGTCAGAGTGGAAACATTTTGCAACTTGGAAGGTAGTTTATTCCATAGACTAGGAACTGCACAGGAGAAAGCCTACTCCCACATGCTTGTTAGGCAGGCTACTATCATTCTTGGTGATCGTTGTTAGTAGTACTGTCATTGAATTGTACAATATTCTTTTTTTCCTGTTCCACTGCAGCTAGCACAACGGAAGCTCCAGCAAGCCAGTACCAATGTAAAGCATTGGAATGTCCAGATGAATCGGCTGATGCACCCAATTGCACCAGGAGGTAAGAGAAATTTGGTACAAATACCCACCTACATATGTTATGATGCAGCAAGTTGACTTGTTGATTTGAACTTCCAGGCTAAGCACACAGTTATATCTGCTAGCTGCTTGTTTACCAGGGAATAATCTTGTTACAGAAACTGATAGTGATGATTCTTTTTGATCTTCTTCCTTAAGTATACATAGAGGTCAGATCCCTCCAGGATTTATGAGTTCTATTGTTTTAACACTCCTTTGTTCTCTTATACAATTACATACGTCCTTGTTGAATTCCAGTTCTTAGAACATTTCAGCTTATTTCTATCTTGTGAGCTCCTCACAGAGCTCCAGAGAATCTTTAATTCTCTGGAGCTCTGTGACGAGATCTGCCCCTTGTACATGGAGTTCCATCCACAAATGGAAGCAAATGAACAGATAAACTTGCTTGGCTGCGCACACCCGATGCAGCAGCAGGCACTCTCTAAGAATAATGTTCTTAGAGAAAACATTATTGTGTGCTATTTTTTTTACCATCACAGCTACATTCTAATTCAGAGGACATATCATGTAATTTATAAAACACACACAAATGCACAGTTGCCTCACTGAAGAGATACTAAAGAACATATGCATGATAGTGTTTCTTAAAATATTTTGCTTAAAACATTTAACTGCTCTTATTTATCCATTTTTAGAAAAACGTATAGTGATAAGTGGAGGGTTCTCTGGCTTCAGCCCTGCACTTCTGTCCAGGAGAGATTCCTCCCTCAAATTGAAACAAAATCTGGAAAAAAAGCAATCTGATGCCATGAAGGATGACAGCAAAGAAGATATAAATGGAGAAAAGCAGGTGCAGATGTATGAGGAGAATACCAGTTCAGAAAACATCTGATTAGCCACAGATGAGAGAAGAAACATTTGCTGAAATTTAGGAACCAAGAAACATCATGACAACTTAAAAATAACTATAGTGTATATACATATGAATACTGGACAGATGTATAGACTGTATAAGAAAGTATGGTAATGATTCCTTTCCACTGGGTTACATTGACAACTTTCCTAGTGCACTAAAGCTGCACCTGATGTATATATTATGGACAAAACGGAAGCATCTTTACTCAAATACAGAGGCACGGTCTTCTGGTTTTACAGCTCTCCTATGGTATATTCTGTTTGGCCTCAGCAGATGGAGAAAAAATCCTGGTCACACTGACTTATCATACAGTATTATTACTGGCATGAGGAATTTTTGTGATGTTGGTAAGCACTATGCCAAGACATCTGTCTGTCTTTTAAACCCCTTTTTAATGGTAACTATACATTTTGCACTATTTGGAAAACCACGTTAAAAGACTTTGAAGCAATATTGCTCATTTTCTGCATTGGGCCCTTTAGTAATCTTTTATTGTTAAGCAAATGAGACTGCTGAACTGAAACAGCTAGAGTAATGTGCCTGAATTCTGAAAATGTTCTGTTCTTAAAAGAATATTTGAGACCTAATTCAAAAGAACTTAAACATAACGATTGGCTTCAATAGATTGCTGGGTAACATTTAATACAAGTCTCTAGTTCAAGAGTTTTATTTCTCACTAGAAAGCTTTGAGGAAGCTATGCTCACATTGTTAAAAAACACACATTTATAAAGGAACCAATTAAGAACTATTTAAAGAGGAGGTAGGGCATGGAAGTTGTCAGAGAGGGGCTATGAGTGCTGTCACTATGTCGAATGGTGCTCTAAGGACACAAAAAAGGTAAAGTTAAAGGTTCCCCTTGACAATTTTTGTCCAGTCGTGTTTGACTCTAGGGGGCGGTGCTCATCCCCATTTCCAAGCCATAGAGCCAGCGTTTTGTCCAAAGACAATCTTCTGTGGTCACATGGCCAGTGCGACTAAGACACAGAACGCTGTTACCTTCCCACCGAGGTGGTCCCTATTGATCTACTTGCATTTGCATGCTTTCGTACCCCTAGGTTGGCGGGAGCTGGGACATCGCGTGGATTCGATCTTACGACTGCTTGGTCTTCTGACCCTGCAGCACAGGCTTCTGAGGTTTAGCCTGCAGCGCCACCACGTCCCTAATACTAAGGACACAAACTCTAATGTAAATAGAACCTCCTAGTGGACAATATCAGAAGGGAAATTAGAACATCACAGAGACCAAGGAGAATGAAGACATCTAGGAGGACAGGGGAAGATGAGTGAAGGGAAAAATGATTCCCTGCAACAGTGCAAAGTTGTGACTACCACCTTAGTCATTTTTAAAAACTTCTAGATCTCCACTATTAAATTATATAGCAAGAATCTTAAGGGATTTTTATGCTGCAACTTTGCATTGTTATGTGACTTAACAATATGAACCTAATTACAGTGATGCCTCACTTAGCGATTGCTTCATTTAATGATGAAATCGCTTAGCGATGACTTTTTCGGAGCGATCTTGCACTCTGTTTAACGATGGTTCCTATGGGCGATTTTCGCATAGCGATATTTGGGACCATGCTTCGCATAGCGATGACAGTTTGGGTCCCCTTGTTTCACTTAATGATGGTTTTGACAGCCTCATGTTGGCTGTTTTTTAAATGTTTAAAAATGTTTAAAAATGTTTAGAATGCTTGAAATCATAAGTGCACTTAATAAACCCTTTGTTAAACTAATTTGATTTTGTTCCGACTCTTTTTAAATTTGTTGTAATTTTTCCCCCATTGAGATGCATTGAATAGGTTTCAATGCATTTCAATTGGGGAATGATGTTTCGCTTAGCGATGAAATCGCTTAACAGCGATTTTTTGGGAACCAATTATCATCGTTAAGCGAGGCACCACTGTACATTTAATCTGGAATAAGTCTCACTGAATAACAGAGTTTATTCCCTATTAAGCTTAACATTACATCTTAGAGGACTTCCAGACAAGACTTTTATCAAGTTGGTTACTCCCACTCACTCATGAAATTTTAGAGAGAAGTCTGGACTAACAGTACATAATGCCTTTTTATCATTCCATAGAAGCTTTTAGGAAAACAGCTAAGAAGTCTGGAGAGTAATATTTTTCTTTTCTGTAGAGCTGAAGGTGGTATAGTGTACATGTGGCATGTACACTCACTTCTTTTATCCTACTATGGTCATCATCAGATATTAGCATGTAAACCTGCTTGGCCAGGGATGTGGTAGTCTGTAGCAATGATGGCTCTGACATACCACCTTTAACTCTCTGATAACAGTCTACACTCCCAAAATAAGTGTCCTTTAATGTAAGGGCAAGATATTTGTCTAATAACCATGAAGATCACCAGTTTAGTTTGCACAAAAATGAAATGGTAAATGTTTAAATTTCAGTAATGGAGAGAAGGGATCTAGCCTAACCCTTTCTCTGCTAGCCTTCTCGTTTCTCAGCTAGTTGTTTGAACATGACCATAAACACATAACAATATTATATAGATTGTTTCCAGTGTAAAATACATGCTAGTCCTAATCTAGTTACCCATATCTAGAAGCAGGCTGAAAGCAAAGCAAATCCTCTTTCACTACTGCCCACCTAGAGAAGACAGTTCAACCTCACTTCAGTGTTGATAATGGATGGTATGCTCCACTTCACTTGAAGCCAGCAGGCTACCTGAAGTCTTGCATAGCTCTTTCCTCCAACAGAAGGGAACAGCAAGTTGGTGATTCCCTCTGTACTGCTGCCAAGATATTGCCTCACTTTGCCCAATGATAGGGCCATCTCTGGACAGTTCTGAGTAACTGCTGGATGGAAAAGTATGTTTAGTTGCTGGTAGGGGGAAGGATTTAAAGCCGTTCTCTGATTTTCCCAATACAGTAGGTGCTTGCAGATTAAACTACCATCCTGTAAATGAACAGTTTGTGAGATCTGGGTCAGACTATTTTTCTGTTTTGCACAGTATCTTCTGCAATGGCATTTAGTGGCTCTCCAAGGTCTTAAGGACAGAACTTCCTGATTTCTTTGCTACCAAATCTTTTTTACAGACACTGCCAAAGATGGAATTTGTCATCTTTTATATGCATAGTGGCTTCTATGCTTTATTAATACAGCATACTACTTAAGCTATCATATTGGCCAGTGAATGCACACACTGCTCAGTTTTGCAGAAGTGAAATTATTATTTTTTACCTCTGGTAGAGCATTGCTGTTGTGCTGCATCACTCAATTATTATTTTTAAATAGTTTCTTTGCCTTGTCTGAAGTGCTGATTAAGAAACTGCTTGCAACCAAAGCTCCAGTTATCAAATTGAGAAAGTGGCCAATTTGCCAATATCTGGAGGTGGCTTGTTATGTGAGCTACTTCACGATACTATAAATTTACAACAGAAGGAACCTTTACATCTTAAGGCTCGCTTCTTGGTCCATTCTCAATTACAGCACATGCTGGAAATGGACCAAAGTAGAGTGATCCTACATGCACCAGTAAAGAAGCCCCTGCCAGAAGCTACGAAAGGTGCAGGTAGGGGTTCTCTGGAAGCAGATTGGTTTGCTCTGATAATTACATTGTTCGATTGTTGTAAAAGAGTGTGCCAACAGGTCCGTGCAGTGCACCAAACTGGGACAAATACTCGTCTGACTGAGCCCTCTGCTAGCTTTCTCAATATGTGATTCAGTGTTAGAGAAGAGAGAAACATACATTTCTCTAAATTAAATATACTTTTCAGGGAGAAATGTTAAAGGTGAAAGGTTTGCCAAATGGAGCAAAGCTTTAGGGAAAGGAGGTGTGATATCAAACCATTACAGCAGAAGTTACCAAGCCTTTGGTATTAGATCCCTTTTGATTTTTTAGATACGTACCTATGTGCCTCCCCACCTATCCTCTATCATCATCCAATCCCCTTTTAATAAAATAAGTCATTAAAAATAACACAAAAGCTTAAAAATTATTTTAAATAAAACATTTTAAAAAATCTCAAGTATTTCTGCAGCATATACAAAAAATGGCAGTGTGCCTCTTTCATAGCATCAACATTCAAAGCTGGGCATTGCCTTTATTGGATCATTAAAAAGTTATAAATAAGATGAACTTTCTACTTTTCCAGAATTCTTCCTCAGGCATGATAGTATAAAACTTGGGATTAAGGCAAATGTTATAAAAACTGGCCTAGATGTGGGTCATGAAGCTAAACTGCCAACAAAGAAAAAAAAATGGCACAGGTGACAAAAGGTAAAAATGTGTAAAATTCATTTATTGTAGCAGGAGATTATCGGGGCAACAGCCATACCAGTTTAATAAGTTCTTTATGGCTTCAGAGAAACATGTCCCACAAGGAATCTGTTGGTGTTCAAAATGTTATAAGATTATTTATGTGTGTGTGTGGTATCAGTGTAGTTCTGTATACAGTATATGAGAGAAGTACACACTCCTCCTTCTTGTAGCCTTGGATCTGCCTTCCTGTGCTCTGGAAGATCTCTCCTGGGTAGATTGTTGGTTGTCTGCTTCCCAATAATTAGCCCAGAATGCCAGTACACAAGAAATGAAGTCACTCAGGAGTGCTGGGGAAAAACATATGTATTATTGGGGCAAAAGCAAAATTACAGTGGATTATCATAACCTAGAAACAATAAGGCCTGGGTAATGACCAGAAGTGCACTCTCCAGCCCCCATTGTTCAAATGTCCCTTAACACATATTGTTAAATTGAACTGTTTGTAAGGCACAACTATATGCTATCTTATAGGTTGGGTATACAAGTGTCTACAAAGATACTTAAAACAAAATACGGCAATAATAAGTAGCAATAGTATAACTCACTCAATACACATAATTTTTTTTTAAAAAAATCAAATTCTATTTGCATTTTAAGAAGTGTGTGTAAGGGATTCTTTGTGCCGAAAAGAGATGGGTGTTGTCCAGGGGAAGAGTATTCTATAAACAGGTGACCCAACCTACATTCTTAGGCTGCTACACTCTTTTAGATGCCAGTAATATAAATAAAATAAACGTGCTTGCTCACCCACCACCTGCATTTGTTTTCGTCTACCGGTGTCATCTTGTTTTCAGGCCGACTACACCCAGGCAAAGCATCCCTCACCTTAACTTGAGCAACCTCTCGGTCCTCAGGTAGCTGTATAAAACACACACACACTCTCACTCACTCACTCTCTTTTGCTAAAAAAAAACAAAACCCCTGCGTCTATGGAGCACGGCGGGGCGGAAACCCGTCCCTCGCCTGCAGACGAGAGACACCGACCTTCCCCCCCTCCTCTTGGGGGGCGGGGACGGGCTTGGGCCGTCGTCGTGGCGATATGGTAATACCTCCCTCACGGCGCTTCCCGGCCAGTGGGGCGGAAGTACGCGGTGGCGTCAAGCTCAGCACGAGTGACGTAGGGGGAGGGAAAGAGTGGCGTCTGCGGCTGTTGGGTCGGTCGGGGTTTTTAATGAGCAAAACTTCTGTCGCGGAGCGTGGTGGGGGCAGCGCGCGAGAGCTTCGTCGCCGCCAGCAGGTGAGGTGATGACAGGGGCGCGCTCGGCGTTGCTAAGGGCGAACCAGCTTGGGCCAGGGGCGGCTGTGGGCGGAAGCCCGCCAGAGGTGGGGGGGACGACGACGACGACGGACGCTCGGCTTCCCTGATGGGACAGGGTGGCAGTCGGGGGGGGGGGTCGAGTGAGGAGCCGGTGTGAGCTTTGGGCAGCCTCCGAGGCCTCGGGGCTTCAGAAGTTCGCAAGGGACGGCAGTTCCTGAAGGATCGCCTCCTTGGAGAAGTCCGTGTCCCAGTGGTGGGCACTAACGGGGCACACGACCCCTCACGGAGGGCCGACCCCTCTCCTGAGGCGGGTGTGTCAGGCAACATATTTTAGATGCTCTGCAAGGGTAGCAGATTGCGGGTCATGTTTACGTAGGTACTGTATCCTTCGTGCCGGAGATAAGCGAGGCGACTGGGATTGTCTGCCTTATGTGCCAAAACTACTTGCTTGGCTTTGGACGGAGGTGGGGGTGGGCTTTTTCACTTCAGGCAGGAAAATGTCTCAGGCCGGCCTTAGGGTCTGCTGCTTCCTCTTATTAGTCTTGGAGGGCAGTTTGTGCGAGGCAATGGATGCTGCCTCTGGTAATTGCCCCTCTCTCTGGGCGATAGCCTCCTGTCTCTTCCCGCGGGGACAGGGAGCTGAGACTCTGCTACCCAACTCAGGGAGGATTGAAATGAAAAAGTGTCCGCAACGCCGTCTTCCCATCTCCGTCCCTTTTTGGGCGGCAGGATGAGGAGAGAGGGGGCTTTAATTGAAGAAGGCAGTAGACTCTTTTTGAAGAATAGCTTGTCGCCTTTGGGCGTGTGCTTTTTTAAAACCTCTTTGGTTCCGGCACTGCAGTTGTCAGGACAGCGTTACAGGACAGAGGAGGGAGAAAGATTTTGCAGGCCTCGACCGACTTGCCCTCATGCCCAAGAGCATATGGGTGTGTGGAAACATACTTTATATTTTAATGTATAATTGCTGTTAGAAAAACAACAACACAAAAAAGTAAATTTAAATTTAAAGCAACTTTAAAATATTTCAAATTGAGTGAAATTGGAAGAGAACATGTGCTGACAAAACACCATTTGGCTTGTATAAGGGGGGAAAGCACACCTAAAGTACAGTGTCTGCTGGCAAAAGTGATATAATATGAAAAAAAGTTCCAGGTAACTAATTTGTTGTTGTTTCATTCCTTAGATTGTATTTTACTGCTTTCATATCTCCTTGAATGATGCTCCTAACTTGAATTTTTGAAGGCACTTTGTTATTAGCAGGTTCTGAGGATAGAGCAGGCTCCACTGCTAAATGAACCAGCATTTTTTATTTTGGCCTCTAGTCATAAACAACCCTTCATGATAGTGTTCCATAATACATTTAAGTTACATTAGTTACCATTATCCAGTGTGATTTATTTGTTTTAGGGAGTATTCTTCTAAAAGACTTCTCTTAATACTCAGGCTGTAGAATCAAAATATTTTCATGAAAACACTATTGCCTTTGATGGTACCTGTTTCCTGGTGATATTGCATCCTGAGAGAAGAACCAACCTTTGCAACCTAGGGCAAGCTACAGGGTCCCATAGTGCCTCAGAAAAAGAGATGGCAAACTACTCCTGAGTACTTTATATATAGGAAATCCTGGAAGGGCTTGTCCTAAGTCAGAATTACCTGGAACGCACATTTTAGTATAAAGTTGTCACATTGGCTGTGATAGACATAAGATGTTCCAAAGCTCTAGTCAGCTTCTAGATCCAAGGGAATTGGTTTGATTATAGACTAAGCATTGTGTGGGAGTAGCTAGCCTGCACTAGCATGAGAGGTACCACTCCAGCCTCCTCCTATTCTCCTTCATTGCCTATAGTTGTTGATTGTACTGAGAGACTTGGCAGGCTTAGCAGTGGAGAAGATGTTTGGGTGCGATGGTATCAGTGGCCCTGGTAGCGGTGGTGTACCATCCATTCACCAGAGCTTCGACAGGAGTGCCAACCAGATATGCCAGTATTCCCCGCATTGCATCTTGGAAGCCAACTGGATCCAATAGCCTGCAGGATGGACCATCTTAATAGGTCCCTACTCCCTGGGGTTTGTGTGCCGCTGAGAGACTACATTTTCTCAGATGGTGATCCAACCATGAGAAGAGGATTAACACAAGGACAGTTACCATCTGGTCACTTTCTCCCTACCCAGTTTGTAGAGATAGAGGAATTCATGTTTGAAGAACATCATGAAGAAGAATCATTCTTCTGTAATGCATACATCTGTGCTATGAGAGATGTTCTTATGAGCTAGGAATGCAGTGTTCCAGTATTGATTTCTGAAAAAATTGGAAGCTAGAATAAGAGGATGATTTTTTTTTTCTTTTGTGGAAAGGTACAAAAGTAGGAAATGGAAAGTGGAGGACTTGGAGGCCCCTGGAAAGGATGAGATCGCTGGATTTCATTGCATACAATACTATTAATCTACTGTACTTTTGAAGATAAAAAACTAAATGCTTACTCTTTATGACCCTTATATAGATAAAAAAACCTAAATGCTTACTCTTTAAGACCCTTATATAGATATAGATATATATATACTGTATATAAATTGAGCAGGGAATGGGGATGGTGAGCAAGCAGGTGGGTAGACAGTGGAACAGCATTTGCCTAGCATGGTATCAATCTGTGAAAGTAACAACAAATCTCTAGTACTTTTTCTTGCAAGTCAGGTACAAAAACTCAATTGTTTAAAAAAAATAGCTGAACTATTGAAATGTTTACCTGAAGTCTTGTCACATCCTTCTCAGGATAGGATGAGTGGGATGTTAAGATTGCAGCAGCTGGAAGTCGCCACCAGCCATCAAATGTCATTGAACTACTGCCTTTAGCTCTAGTATACTACACTGTAACTGCTGTAGTTACGCTAAAGTCTAGAGAAAAGGTCATCTGCTCATTTTGAGTGGTGGAAAGTACCATAGCCTGTAACTAATTTTTAACAGGAATCAATTGAGCAATAAAATACCACATCACTCTCTGTGACTTGGGTCATGAGGGACTGAGTCACTGGAGAGAGCCAAAGGGTTTTTTAAACTACTTCTTCTACAATATCAATATTAGATGGAAAGAATTTTCCCTTTATAATGCTGTCAGCATTCACTTTGTCTGTGAGCTTAGGCAAGCAATACACAACTTGTTTTCCTTATGCTTTGTATTGCAACCCCCATCCTTTCCAGAAAATTAACATTTTTGCTGGCTATCATGGAAATTTTATTTCAACACATTAGGTGGGTACCCGGTTGAGGAAGGCTTGCTTAAACACTAGCCAATAGAAATAAGCAAGTAAATGGGGGAGGTGGCCATGTTTCTCCTTGAATGGGAGAAAGTGACTGAGGTCCTGAGCTGGGTAGCTTCTTAAAAGATGGGTCACCTTGATTGTCCCACCAATTAGATATATGAGTGTTTAGCTCACATCCTTGGTATCAGATGGGAAACATTGGTGGCGATGATCCAGCAAGAGTTTTTAAGTGTGAAAGGCCCCACACATACGCACCTGATCCCAAGGCTCCTTAAGCCTTCCCCAGGGCAAAAGGGAGCCTGAGGGAAACTAAAACAGGGGGCTAGGAAATGTTAAATCAGTGTATGTTAAATGTGCCTGATACAAGTTGCACCGGAAGTAAAGTTATACAGTACAACAGGATTTTGCCCATTTTTTTTTCCAGTATAGTAGGTGAAAAGCATCTGAAGTTTTTTTCTTGTCTAAAGGCACAGTTGAAATCAGGAGAGGGAATCAGGAGATGGGGGGAGTTTGTAAAGTCAGTTTAAAGTCACATGGTAATCACGTGTATTTTGGATAGGTGTGTGCATCCTCTTGGGAAAACTTTTAATCCATTTTAAAACTGTGTTGTATATTGGTTAACGGGGCTACAAGGGCTTTTAGAATAGCTGTGTTTGAGGTTTTGTCCTGTACCCTCCCATTGTCACATTGGCTGCCTGCAGTCTGACACAGGCACGGGGGGGGGTAGGGGGGTACAGACACACACACAGGAGAGGGGGGGAGTTTTTAAAGTCAGTTTAAAGTCACATGGTAATCACGTGTATTTTGGATAGGTGTGTGCATCCTCTTGGGAAAACTTTTAATCCATTTTAAAACTGTGTTGTATATTGGTTAACGGGGCTACAAGGGCTTTTAGAATAGCTGTGTTTGAGGTTTTGTCCTGTACCCTCCCATTGTCACATTGGCTGCCTGCAGTCTGACACAGGCACGGGGGGGGGTAGGGGGGTACAGACACACACAGAGAGGAGTGGAGAATGAGGGGGAGCAAGAGAGTTGAGGCTGAAACTGAGCTGAGACATTGGCGAGTTTTGTACTTCTACGCTTTTGAGGAGAAGGAACAGGGAAGGCACACCAGTGAGTAGCAAACCTCACAGAGACAATTTACACTGATAGATGTATTCGGATATACCAAAACAATGCAAAATAAATCAATTTTACAAGTAATTTAAAATAAATGATTCTCTCACAGCCAAGTGAAATACCTTGCTTCCAAACAAAAAACATGCTTCCCAGGCAAAAAATAAGAAATAAAATAAATCCATGTGTGTCATGCAATTGCCTTTTAAAAATCAATTTCAAACATGCTAAACCTGATGCAAAAACATTTTTTTTCTGTGTGTAACCACATTCTAAGTTTGACAGCAAACCTGTTGACCTCAAGGACAATTGCCAAATGGAGATCACCTCAGTATAGGTTTGATTTCTAAATAATGTCTGTGATGAGAAAGGAACCATAAAAACATGCTTTATACTTCAATCGCTTTTATGTTTCATTTTTCCTGAATAAGCTCCTACTCTGCCCACAATTTATCACCCTATAAATATTGTGATGTTCATTAGGGTGAGATCTTAGGTCAATGTCTGGCTGTGGGGACAGTTCTGGTCTGTACACAAGATTTTAGGGAGAACTGTTTTTAATATGTATACGTACATTGGTTGTTGTGGGTTTTTTGGGCTCTTTG